TGTGTGTGTATGGGGGGGGGGTTATGTGGCGTTAAGTAGTCTGATGGCAAGGGGGAATAAACTATTTAGTAGTCTGGTCGTTCTGCAGAAGATGCTGCGGAACCTTCTGCCGGACGCCAGGGGGGAAAACAGTCCATGGTTGGGGTGGGTGGGGTCGGAGAGTTTCTGGCGAGCCCGGGAAAGGCAGCGCCTGTCCGCGATGTTCTGGATGCAGGGGAACGTCGCCCCCGTGATCTTCTCCCCTGTCCTCACCACCCTCTGAAGCGACGTCCAGTCAGAGGCCTTGCAGCTCCCAGACCAGATGGAGATGTAGCTGGTCAGCAGGCTCTCGATGGTCCCTCTGTAGAAGGTCTGAAGGATGGGGGGCGGGAGGGATGCTTTCTTCATCCGACGCAGGAAGTGCATGCGCTGTTGGCCCTTCTTCACCAGTGAGGAGATGTGGACTGACCAGCTGAGGTTGTCAGTGATGTGCACCCCCAGAAACTTGGTGCTGCTTACGACCTCCACAGCTGAGTTGTTGATGAGGAGGGGTGTGTGGGTGGGTCTGGATTTCCTGAAGTCGACGATAATCTCCTTGGTCTTTTTGACGTTCAGGATCAAGTTGTTCACTCTGCACCAGTCCACCGGATGCCGCACCTCCTCCCTGTAGGCCGCCTCATTGTTGTCCCGGATGAGGCCCACTACTGTGGTGTCATCCGCGTACTTCAGGATGTGGTTGGACCTGAGGCGTGGACGGCAGTCGTGGGTCATCAGGGTGAACAGCAGGGGGCTTAGGACACAGCCCTGAGGAGTGCCAGTGTTTAGGGTGATGACGTTGGAGGTGTTGTTCCCCACTCTGACAGCCTGGGTTCTGTCAGTGAGGAAGTCCAGCAGCCAGTTGCATAGGGGGGTGTTTATTCCTAAGGGCCCCAGTTTGCCTACCAGGTCCTGGGGGATGATCGTGTTGAATGCTGAGCTGAAATCCAGGAACAGCATCCGTACGTGGGTGTTCTTCTCCTCCAGGTGCTCCAGGCTCAGGTGGAGAGCAGTGGAGACTGCATCCTCCGCACTGCGCTTGGGCTGGTACGCAAACTGGAACGGGTCGTGTGATGGGGGGAGCGTTGAGATAATGTGGTCCTTAAGAAGTCTTTCGAAGCACTTCATGATGGAGGATGTGAGTGCGACGGGGCGGAAATCGTTAAGGCACGTGATGGTGGTTGTCTTTGGGACCGGAACGACAGTGGCAGACTTGAAGCACCGTGGGACGACGGCCTGGTTCAGGGACGTGTTGAAGATGTCCGTGAGCACGTGGGTCAGCTGGTCCGATCATTCTTTAATCAGCCGACCTGGAATGTTGTCGGGACCTGCAGCTTTCCGCGCGTTGACCTTCCTCAGAACTTTCCGCACTGCTGATGTTTCTAGTCTGAGCGCCTGTTCGTCGGGGTGTGGTGTCGCTTTCCTCGCAGGGTTGGAGTTCAGCTCCTCAAATCTTCCAAAGAAGTTGTTGAGCTCATTGAGGAAGCCGGTGTCGTTCTGGCAGGATGAGGGAGGGGGTTTGTAGTCCGTGACAGACTGGATGCCCTGCCACAGTTTCCTCGTGTTGTTGGAGTCTTGGAAGAGACCTTGGATTTTCCGGCTATGGGCTCGCTTGGCATCTCTGATGGCGTGCTTCAGGTTAGCCCTTGTAGACCTGAGAGCCACAGCATCACCAGATTTGAACGCAGCATTTCGTTTTCTCAGCTTCGCTCGAACCTCCTTGGTCATCCAAGGTTTCTGGTTTGCCCGAGTGACAATTGTTTTTGTTGCTGTCTCGTTTTCCATGCACCAACTGATGTAGTCGGACACCGACGCAGCGTACTCCTCCACGTTGGTGCGCTGGTTGTCTGTTGCAGCCTCCTTGAAGATGCTCCATTCAGTGCACTCAAAACAGTCCTGTAGTGCAGACATCGCTCCCTCAGGCCATACCCGGACCTTCTTCACTGCAGGTTTTTCGCTGATGAGCCGGGGCTGGTATGCAGGGATTAGCATGACAGAGAGATGGTCTGAGGAGCCCAGGTGGGGGCGGGGGGCTGCTCTGTATTAGAGGATGACACGGGAGTGGATTTTCACTCCTGTCCCGTCCCACTCCCATAGAAAGAAATCTTGTCCCGTCCCACTCCCAGACCAAAGTTTAAAAAATAATCCCATCCCATCCCGCTCCTGGTAAATTGACTCCCGCTCCCATCCCGCTCCCGTTTAAACTGACTCCCGCTCCTGTACCGCTCCCGTATATTTTTTATATATATATTTTTATATATAGCAAAGGGTCTGAGATCTTGGCTGCACATGCGAGCAATTTTGTCGGTCAGACGAGACTTGACACCTGACGGCAATTTTTGCTTGATGAACGAAGCGATGCTTGGCTGATTCTTTCCCGAATCTGCCTTGCAAGTGTGCCTCTTCAGACCGCTCGTCCCCGAATCACTCGCGTACTTGACCAACACTAAACAAGTCTTACAAGCAGCGTACACCGTGCTAACACCGTCACATTCCACTCTTTTAAACTTAAATAATATGTCAGACTTTCCGACCAGTTCTGTGAACTTAATAGAAATGTCGTTACATCTTACTTTCCGCTGTAAATCATTTTTTGCTGCATCGACGTCTCCGCGGCTGTTAGCTCCTCCATCACTGCTATTTGAATTCTTGCGGTAAGCCGTGACAAAAAGCACCGATGGCTTCTGGGACCACTGGGTCATGTAGTTATTTTTTAATTGCGTTACATTGTAGGGATATTAAAAGGAAACTACAAAATGGTGGATTTACTTTTTTTTTTTTTTTCGTCTTTGCTATTGGTTGATTCCCGCTCCCGTCTGCTCCCGTTAATTATTTATCCCGTACCGTCCCAATCCCGTGATTAATAGCGAAGATGACTCCCATCCCGCAGGAATCCCGCGACCCGTGGGATTCCCGAAAAAATGTCAGCCTCTACTCTGTATGCCTTCTTTATGTTGGTGTAAACAAGGTCTAGCATGTTCTCCCCTCTTGTAGCAAAGTCCACGTGTTGGTAAAAGTTTGGAAGTACAGTCTTCATGTTGGCCTGGTTGAAGTCGCCAGCAACAATGAAAACACCATCCGGCTGTGTGGCTTGCATGTCCGTGATGTTATGGTAGAGAACACTGAGGGCTTGATTCGTGTTGGCGCTGGGTGGGATGTAAACAGCAACAATGGTGACGCTGGTGAATTCACGTGGCAGGTAAAAGGGTCGGCATCTCACAGTCAGGAGTTCAATGTCTGCACAGCAGTGACTGGAGACCCAGGAAGCATTGGTACACCAGCTGTTCTTCGTGTAGATGCAAACGCCCCCCCCTCTGCTTTTGCCTGTGAGAGCACTGCTTCTGTCAGCTCTGAATGTTGTTAACCCATCCAGGCTGATTGCGCAATCTGGGACCGATGCACTGAGCCATGTTTCAGTGAGGACAATGGCACAGCAGTTTCTTGTTTCAAGCTTTGAATGTAGTTCCAGCTAGAGGTAGTCCATTTTATTTTCCAGGGAGCGTACGTTGGCGAGCAGCAGTGAGGGAAGCGGCAGTCTGTATGGTTTAGTTTTTAGTTTAGCTGTTAGTCCTCCGCGGCAGCCGCGCTTCTGCTTCCTGTCGCACCGTCTCCGACGTCTCCATGGGTGGTCTCTGGTTGAGGGAGGGACCGTTGGTCCGCTGGCCGTTCGGCGTAAAAGTCTGAGGCTAGCGAGTTGGATGCCATGACGAGTGCATGCTGGTAGTCAACCCTTGATTTAGCAAGTAGGTAGTGGTGGTGTAGTGGTTAGCATAGCTGCCTTCCAAGCAGTTGACCTGGGTTCGATTCCCAGCCAATACAGCTCCTCCCTACCCTGTAAGTCGCTTTGGATAAAAGCGTCTGCCAAATGCATGAACATGAACATGAACAGGTACAGGTACAATTAGGTTCAAATTGTTGAAGCAGACCGCCCAAGAACTGCATTCTGTACACCTTTCGGTCTCTTTGAATGGAGTTGCATGCCCTTTGGCCAATGCCCCCAGTAACTTTCATTGACTAATGCAACAACTTTTTGGCCACCAACAGTGCCAGTCTCTTTTGTTGAATCTCATTCATAGTCGTTTTTTCCTCCACTGTCCAGCAATATCTTGAGCACTTGCCGGTGTCCGTCTCATAGACTCGATGCCTCTCATGCAGCGATTTTTCAATTTCAATTTTTTTCAATTCAATTTTATTCATATAGCGCCACATCACAACAACAGTTGTCTCACAGCGCTTTCCAAACAGAGCAGGTCAGACCCTACTCTGAAGTTAACTACAGAAACCCAACAATTCCCACCATGAGCAAGCACTAGGCGACACAGGCAAGGAAAAACTTCCTTTTAACAGGCAGAAACCTTGAGCAGAACCATGGCTCAGGGTGGGCGGCCATCTGCCTCGGCCGGTTGGGGGTGAGGGGAAAGAGAGAGCAAGAGAGAGAGAGAGGGCGAGAGAAGGACAGAAGGAGCAGAGAGGGGCAGCCAACACAGCAACACGTAGAATAGATTAATAATGGCAATGATATTAATGCTAATGATGAGCAGGAACATGGGGGCAGCAGGAAACTCCCAACCACAGATCCAGACTCCACAGCTCTAGGAACACCTGCAGGAAGTGATAGGAGGAGACTCCCAACCACAGCTCCAGAGCCAGGAATATCTGCAGAAAGTGTTAGGAAGAGAGAGAAGAGAGAAGGGGGACGAGAAAGCACACGACTACGGGGAAGGGAGAGAGTCCAGTTAGTAACATTGTTAATGGAATGAGGTTGCACCGGGAGGGAGAGAGAGAAAGGAAAGGGGAGCTTGGTGCATCATGATGCATCCCCCGGCAGTCTAGGCCTATAGCAGCACAACCAGGGGTGGACTTACTCTAACTATAAGCTCTATCATAAAGGAAAGTCTTAAGCCTACTCTTAAATATAGAGACGGTGTCTGCTTCCCGGACCCAAACTGGAACCTGGTTCCACAAAAGAGGACTCTGATAGCTGAACGCTCTAGCGCCCATTCTAGTTTTCAAGACTCTAGGAACTGCCAGTAACCCTTCATTCTGGGAGCGCAGTTCTCTGGTAGGGCAGTAAGGTACTAAAAGCTCTTTAAGATAAGATGGGGCCTGACCATGAAGAGCTTTATACGTAAGGAGAAGGATTTTAAATTTTTATTCTGGATTTAACAGGAAGCCAGTGCAAAGAAGCCAAGACAGGAGAAATATGATCTCTTTTTCTGGTTCCTGTAAGAACACGTGCTGCAGCATTCTGGATCAGCTGAAGAGTCCTAATGGACTTTTTTGAAGACCCTGATAACAAGGAATTGCAGTAATCCAGCCTAGAAGTAACAAATGCATGGACTAGTTTTTCTGCATCATTTTTACACAGGATGCTCCTAATTTTTGCGATATTACGAAGGTGAAAGAAGGCGGTTCTTGAAATTTGCTTAATGTGAGAGTTAAACGACATGTCCTGATCGAAGATAACTCCAAGATTTCTCACAGTGGTGCTGGAGGCCAGGGCGATGCCATCCAGGGAAACTATATCTCTAGATAATGCGTCACGAAGGTGTTTAGGCCCTAGAACAATAACTTCAGTTTTAGCTGAGTTTAACATTAGAAAATTGCAGGTCATCCAGGTTTTAACATCCTGAAGGCACATTTGAAGCTTAGCTAGCTGATGAGTTTCATCTGGCTTGATCGATAGGTATAACTGAGTATCATCTGCATAGCAATGAAAGTTGATAGAGTGTTTCCTGATAATATTACCTAAAGGAAGCATATATAAAGTAAAGAGGATTGGTCCGAGAACGGATCCTTGCGGAACTCCGTGGCTAACTCTGGCATGCATGGAGGACTCATCGTTAACATGCACAAACTGAAACAGATCTGATAAATAGGACCTAAACCAACTTAGAACGGCTCCTTTAATGCCGATGAAATGTTCCAGTCTCTGTAGTAGGATCTGATGGTCAATGGTGTCAAAAGCAGCACTAAGATCTAATAAAACCAAGACAGAGACAAGTCCTTTGTCTGATGCCATTGGGAGGTCATTAGTAATTTTGACCAGTGCGGTCTCTGTGCTATGGTGAGCTCTAAATCCTGACTGAAAATCCTCAAACAAGCTATTGCTATGTAGATAGTCACACAGCTGTTTGGCTACTGCTTTCTCCAGGACCTTGGAGATGAATGGAAGGTTGGATATAGGTCTATAGTTGGCTAAAACATCTGGGTCCAGGTTAGGCTTTTTCAAAAGAGGCTTAATTACAGCAACTTTAAAGTACTGTGGCACATAGCCTGTTAATAAGGACAGATTGATCACGTCTAGCAGAGAAGTACCGACTAAGGGTAGGACTTCTTTAAGCAACCTAGTCGGGATGGGATCCAAGAGGCAAGTTGAAGGTTTGGATGAAGAAATGATTGAAGTTAGTTGACAAAGATTGAGGGAAGCAAAACAGTCAAAACATATAACTGGTTCTGGTCCTACAGTTACTGAGTTTAAAGATAAGTCGATGCTAGTTGAGGGCAAGTCTTGGTGGATTTTGTTCCTGATAGCTAGAATTTTATCGTTAAAGAAGCTCATGAAGTCATGGCTAGTGAGAGCTATTGGAATATTTGATTCAATAGAGCTGTGGCTCTCAGTCAGCCAGGCAACAGTGCTGAAAAGAAACCTGGGGTTGTTCCTATTTTCCTCAATTAAAGACGAGTAATATGCTGCTTTGGCATCACGGAGGGCCTTCCTATAAGCTTTAAGACTATCTTGCCAAGATAAACGAGACTTTTCCAGCTTGGTTGAACGCCAGTTCTTCTCAAGTTTCCGAGATATCTGCTTTAATTTGCGGGTTTCACTAGTATACCATGGAGCTAACCGTCTTTGTTTAAGAATTTTCTTCTTTAGGGGGGCTACAGCGTTAAGTGCTGTTCGCAGCGAGCCTTCAACACTATCAACAAGATGATCAACTTGGGAAGGACTGAAATTAACATAAGAGTCCTCTGTTTCTGTACGACTTGATAATGGATGTAGAGCTGATGGAATCACATCCTTAAATTTAGCTATAGCACTATCAGACAGGCATCTTGAGTAGACATTTTTACCCAGTGGAGGGTAATTCAGCAGTAAAAGCTCAAAAGTTAGCAAACAGTGGTCAGATAAAGACGGATTATGTGGGAACACTATTAAATGTTCAATTTCAATACCATACACCAGAACAAGATCAAGGGTGTGGTTAAAACAGTGAGTCGGTTCATGAATACTCTGAGAGAAGCCAATGGAATCTAACAGAGAGATAAATGCAGTACTGAGGCTGTCATTCTCAACATCCACATGGATATTAAAGTCCCCTACAATAATTACTTTGTCCGTTTTAAGGACTAAAGTTGACAAAAACTCTGCAAATTCAGATAAGAATTCAGAGTATGGACCGGGTGGTCGGTACACTATAATAAATAGAATAGGTTGCAGTGATTTCCAGCTTGGGTGGGAAAGACTCAGAACAAGGCTTTCAAAAGAGTTATAGTTCAATTTAGCTTTAGAGCTGATTACAAGACTGGAGTCAAAGATAGCTGCAACTCCACCTCCTCGACCTGTGCTTCGAGGAATGTGAGTATTCCTGTGACTGGGAGGGGTGGATTCATTAAGGCTCACATATTCTCCATCACCCAGCCAGGTTTCAGTAAGACAAAATAAATCAATCTTATAATCTGATATGAGTTCATTTACAAGCACACCTTTCGAAGAGAGAGATCTGATATTCAACAGTCCACATTTTACTCTCTTATTTGCATGCACTATTTATCTTGTGGTTTTAACTTTTATGAGGTTTCTATAGACAACCCCTCTGTTTACCCTTAATTTTAAAAATTTTAATGACCGGGGGACAGACACCGTCTCTATAGGTTTTTCACTAAATAACTCCTGGAATGGAGGAGCAGAGAAGAGGGTTACATTACAACTCCGCTTCCTCCTCTCAACCCTGGACTGTCACCGATCTAGTCTGCTAACAATGTTGGCTAGGTTTCTAGAAATGAGAGCGGCTCCCTCCCCCGTGGGATGGATGCCGTCTCTCCTAATCAGGCCACGTCTTCCCCAGAAAGACTGCCAGTGATCCACAAAGTTGTTGCCTTGCCTTACCATACTTAATCTGAAATTCACACGCTCCAGAGGACCGATCTTGTTATTCGAGAAGTGCTGCCCATTTGGAAGCCCGGGCGGCGTTCGGACCGGGAGGTATGTTAGGAGCTGAATTCATCAGCGTTGGTGCTGCCTCAGTGGTGGGACTGCTAGGTGGATATGAGGGGGGGTTCTGTATCGCTAGGTCTTTCGACCTGATGGGGCAGAGGTAGTGTTGCAGTTGTTGCTAGCTAGTGCTGAAAGATGAAGTACTGACAGAGGTTAATCAGAGACATGGGTTTGGAGGATCCTGGAATTTTTGGGGCAACGTTGTTATTGGCCCCGTTTGTCCCCTGCAAGGCATGCTGGTACCATGTTTGTGAAAGGTGTCAGCTGGCTAAGGCCACAAATCCTCGATGTAGCTCCATGTTGGCTGTTGGCTTCCCATCCCAATGAGTACATTCCTATTTGCTTGAACCCACTCGTAATGGTATTGGAAACATCTTGCTAATGACAAACGGTTTTAGTAAGTACACCTTGGCTATTGCCACTCATGACCAACAAGCCTAA